TTCGGTATTTTGCGAGCCGTGGTTCAAAAAATTAGTCTAGAGTTTACAGTAAATCTGCGTGACTGCTTACAACCCATTTACGATTGGTTAAAGTTTTTTTGAATTTGAAAACTTTCACGCAAATCACTTTGGGCAAACAAACAAACGTTTTTACGTGGTGCGTTGTCAAGTAATGGCAAAAACTTTTGCTGTCCAAATTATTTGTATTTAGACAATTGTGCTCACTATTTTTCACAAATTGTGTTAGAAAGGCGGCATTGTAAACAAAATGCACCAATGAAATCACTTCCTCAAGGCGAAAGTCCGACTCTAGAATTACCAAGTTTAAAATTTTCCGTGCAAATATTTTTTTCGAGATTAGCAAGCAGTATTTCCTGATTTGTGTCTGATTCATGCTGAGTTACCAGTTACACAAACGCAAAAACTTAAATTTTTGCAATGAACCGTTTTATCGAGTGAAGCTGTTCACTCAGGGGTTAGGGTTAGTGGAAAAATGTTTGTGATGAAACTAAAATACTAAAATTTACCGATAATGAAATTGTACTTGGAAAATGGTTTTGGATAAGAAATCTAGTCGCTCTTCATTTCGCACGTCTAAATACCCGCTATCGTGGAAATAGCCCGGATTGAAATTCTTTGAAGGCGGATACGGCACATTTCATTGGGTCATGATGAGGCATTTCTGTCTAACATCGGTCAGCGTCAACGTTCCCCAAGACAACTAACTGAACTCTGATTTGTGACGTCGACTTGCACAGCCCTGTTCACTTGATTGCTTCTCTGCTGCTGCTAATTACTCATCTCACCGATCTCAGAGCGACCAGGCGCGTCTGAGCATCCACTCGACCTCCACTTTTGACCCCATCTTGTGATCGAACCTTTGTTTCAGAAACTGGTGAGTACATCAGTGAGCACAGTGTCTTTGTGGCATTTATTGGCGAAATTGGGATATTGTTCAGATGTTTGTTGTCTCAGAATTTGGTCATCATGAACTCTTATTAATGTTTTTGTGTGTTCTTCTCCTCTGAAACTTGAATTCACACCAACCGTTGTCACAAAATAATAGCTTTAACTGAATTAAATAAAACACTTTTTTTGCACGTTCACTGGCAAAAGAGATCAAATAAATCATTTTTGTTTTGCAATACTCTCAAATTTAATTATCGGCGCATTTTAAAACCTCACTCCATCCTTGCCAAGTGTCAAGTGCCTCACTGTCCCTTCTCCAATCCGATTGGTTGCTTGCAAAATTTGAATTCAAATCACACCGCTGTAATGTCGGCGTTCCGAAGAAGGCAGTGTAGAATACCTGGAAAAGACTGGTACAATAGAGCAGGCTTTATTGACCAATCATAAGCCAGAACCAAACGTCAGAATTCGTCCATCCGAGTCTTCCACACTGGCTGTGCCACTCATTACAAACTGCTTCCCATTTGTGTCTGTTTCTGGTTGGCTGCTTGTCTTCCTCACTTGCCATTGGAACATAAAGAGACAGAGGATTGGCTGAGGCCGGGCGTGGTCCAATATGTCTGCGCCGCTATGCGGTGCTACAGCAGATGTTTTCAAAGAGCTGTGTGACTGAAGTTTAAGAACCAACTAGTCATTTAGCGGTAAAGTTGTGTTTTTACCAAAACTCCACCAAATCACGCAACTCTGAGCGTATTTAATTAGTCTACTTTTCTACCTTTGTTTTAACTTGAGAATAAGTTGAAAAAATATCACAAAACAACGATCATTGTGGCAACACTTTGATGCATGGAACAGGGAATTGTATGATTTGGTGTGCTAGCTTAATGCGCTGATCAAGATAAGTGAGGCAATTGAGAAATAATTTGCTGAAAAACTTGTAAGTAGGCAGTTGTGTTCTACTTTTTTAACACAGAACCAAGAAGTTTGTTGAATTTGAAAAGAACATTGAGAATTGAGATTTCAAATCTCAAACACAACCACTGAAATGGAGTTCTAGCTTCTGCACTCCCTCACGGTTTTTACAAATTCTGTACCACTTTGTTTAAACTGCATCGCCTTCTTTTACAGATACTAAGAGCCAATTACAGTCCAGTTTGAAAACTGGAGGGTTATTTAAATGCTCTTCAAATTTTGCAGTTACTGCCTGTCTTGGTAACAGTAGTCTAAAACTTTTCGAGGCGGGTCGAAGAAAATGAAATGAATTTACACAACATCTTGAATTTATCATGTCACAGGTATAAATGGTGTTCGGTGTTTGTGTTATGCATCTTGTTTGACACAACACCGAATCAGCCGAATGCTGTATCGGGAGGTTATTGCTTCTAGGATGCCGTTTAACTTTTAAGTAGCATAGCCTAATTACAATTCATTGGAATCCAGTAGGTTTACTGCAAATTTGTAGTAAATATTGAGCAAAATTGATTGGTCGTTCCCAATGAACATGCAGAGCCATCATCACCTTTGAAATAAAAGTGAAATATAAATATTACTTTGTAATTTAAGTAGGCGTTTAATTCTCACTTCATAAGTTGATCTATACACAGCATGCAATGATTCGCATCCACAGCTAAATTGCAAGCACAAGTCGACACCAATGTGAAGTATCTTGTTCCACCAGAATACTTGCTGAAAATTATTGCCATCTTTATCAATTTAACCAGCACAATTTGAAAATTAAACGACCAAAAACTCCTGACTTTGAAGGTGATATTTAGCTAGACTGAAGAAATCTGTCCACGGAATTGGAAGCAGCCCAAATTCAGCTATTCTAACACACTTAAGATCTGTTCTTGTGGCCGAATTTCAAAATTATCAGCGCTGAATTAAATTCGCAAGGAGAATCCAACATTACAGCGAAAAGTGGTATCAAATCACACATGAGCATTGCGTGTATTGATCTCATCGTCCTTAGATGTGATTGGTGTGGAGCCACAAGCACACACCGCAGCAGATAGGAATTCAAAATTTAGAAATCACGCCAAACATGAGTGCTCTAAGCAGCTACTACGGCTCATGTAGCCTTGAAGTGAAACCGTTATTTGAAATATGTTTTTGTCGATGCTAGACACAAATTTGGAGATCAGCCAATCGAAACTCTCTCAGATGTAGCGGTAAATTAACACTGCCTGTAACAGCCAATCTGAATTACATTAGGACACCTGTTGATCGCACAAATTCTCAATTAAGCACGCCCATGGAAAATACACAATGATAGGTCATGTCTGTCGCCATAGAAACGCCACCAGGGACATGATTATTGCAGTGCCTCATGCTTTAAGATTATGAAAAAAGTTGAATTTCTATGTTAGTTTAGTTTTACTTGATTCGCCAAGCATTTGCTGATTCAAATTCTGTGATTCATTTTCACGTTTTTGATTAAGTCGCGACAAAATCCATTCAGTTATTGTACAAGAGAAAGGCAGCCATCTTGTCTGGGATGCACTTAGCACCCACCCTGTTTACATTTTTTTGATTTGCCACATAATTTTATCGATGCATCCGCTACAAATAGGAATCAAATGGAGGTTATGCGAAGTACAATGAGACATAGGAAGACGTTAACATCAGGAAACGTGTTCTACTTTCCGATTGGCCACAGTTTTTCGATACATACTGTTAATGTTATCAGCAGCCTTTTAGTTTGCAAAAGTAGAATGATGAGTGTAAAAATACGATATGCCATGCACCACTGCATTCTTAAATGACTAATATAAGTTACTGTTAACACCAGAAATGTTACTAATAGTAGCTAGTTGACAGTTTTTTGTGCAAATTAAAATTCATTGCTGGCAGAATCATGTCATTTAGCAGGAGTTCCGATGAAAATTTGCATTAAATGACATGCATATTATGAATATATTTTTAACTAATCATGCTGAGGATATGCATCATCTACTTCTTTCGAATTTAATTTTGTAGTTGGCAATTTAAATATATATTCAATATTGCTGCCTCCCCCATGAATGTGCCAATTAATCCATGCAGCTGACCCTGGATTTTAGTGGTTCTTTTTCTACTCCTTGAATTTCATTGGCCTACGAGGCTCTTTTCGCAGCTATTTCAAATCGTTAACCATCCAATGAGCGTTAAGGAGCTCCATATTTGCTAATTACCTGAAAAGCTAGTCCTTTAATTAAGCTCTTCCAAGGCGCACGCTGATAGTTAAAGCCGTGTTTACAGACCACAAATTAATCAATTTACAATACTGATTTGTACAGTCTCCTTTTAATTACTTGCCTGCATCTGACCTTGAGCCCTAGCTAACTTAAACAAGGCGCTAGCTGGAATGCAGTGACGTCCACGCAAGGTCTTCGTTATGGTGATGCCGCAAGCCTGGTTTGATTTTACCCAGGAAAAAGGGGGTTGTGCCAGTAATAGTGTTTGAACTACTGTGGTAATTCGCACAATTTTCTGCATTTTTATTCTGCCTGGCTATTTGCATTTTTAGATTCACAAACTATATCATTTATAAATCATGGACCAGCAATACGAACGGGTTTACAGGAAAATATAAATAATGCCCACTTAAAACAAGAATTTATTTTCCTCTGTCAGTCGTGTTTTGAAACAGGTCTGTAATTAAAAAATAAAAAAATACTAATGTTTTATTTTAAGTAGTAGGTTATAAATGTGTTGAATTATTCTGATTTATTTGTCCAAAATTCCTCAGTAAAAGGTTTTTAAGCACAAAGCAAACTGTAACATCGTTTTGGTCTATATCTTCTAAAACTAAATGCAGCTTTAATATGCGAGTTTGATTTATAGACTTTAATTCCTAATGACGGTTGCATCCACTTTAGGACAAATAATTTAGTTCAACTGTTTCTTTCAAATTTATGCTAGGGTTAAAACGTCTCCCAGCATCAAAATGCTGAACTTCACATAGTCAATAACGGTAACGTTTTTACTTTTCAAAAATCAAAAAAAAATTATTTTTAGGACAAGGAGCAGAATAGTTTTTTGGATACCAATAGCAATTAAATCTTCCAAAATACAGTAAATTCTTTCCCTTGAATGAAAATCCCGTTCGTTCATGATTCGTCATCAAAATTTGGCAGAAATCCATTTTTCAGAAACTTATCGTAAGTGTCCCCTTCCAATTCATCAATAAATTTCTTCTCATTATCCCAACTTTCTACAAACTTCTCCATCAGATTGTCCGTAAACTGTCCAATTATCCTCTCATACTTATAATGCGATTCCTTGATCACTTCATTCAATCTGGATATTTCCGCATCGCGGGAAGCCACAGTTGAATTCAACTCATCCAGCGTATTCTTTAGCTTCTCTTCAAGGTCGTTCTTCTCCTGCAAAAGATTAGCGTTCGCTGTTGAGAGCTCCTGGAGTCTGTCACTAAGTCGCGCGACAGTGTGCTCATGCTGTAAGGCCGCAAAAGCCATGGTCTCTTTTGTGTCCTCCTTGAACGCCTTTAGCTCAGTCTCAGCGCTTGTTTGCAGCTCGCGAGCATGATGCAATTGGGCATCCTTTGCTGAGATCGCAGCGCGCTGAAAGTATAATCGGGCTTCCAGTGCTCTAGCACGGGCGGCGGCCCTTTGGGCAGGATCAAAAATCGAGGACTTCTTCTTTAGGGCCTTCTTAACTGGCCTCTTTGAACTTCTTTTGCTGCTCTTCTTGCTTCTTCTTTTACTGCCTTTCTTTGATTTTTTTGACTTTCGAGGCATTGATTAGCTCAATTCTAAAGAATAATTACTTCAGATGAGATGTCATTATTGGTAAAACAACTTCATTGCCTAGCATATGCATTGTGTCGACATATTTTTTTTCTCTTATGTGCTTCGGAAAATTATTCCGACAAATTTAAATCGCAAAAAAAATATTTTAAAAATTATTCTTTCCACTGGTAGAACTAGAATACCAAACAGTTAAAGATGCTCTAAGCAGTTCTCACACTTGCAAGATTTATATGCATGCATGACGGTAATGAGTGAGCTTTTTCATTATATATAAATAAGGATTTTAATGATATTATTGACAAACACACTTAACGCACTTGGAAAAACCCTTACTGTAAAATTCCTAAAGGATGATAATTTGTTTTGCTCTTGCTTTCTGACTCACTGAACCAGAAATAACATGTAACTGAGGGCAAAAATATTCCTCAAATTCAGTACTAATATAAATCTATAAGTTACTAATTTAACGTAAATTGATAGGCTTATGAATTCCAATCCATGCAAACTATAATTTTTTTTTCAAAACCGTCATAAATGCGTCGCTAAGTTCGTAACCTAATTATACAAACAGCTCTAACTTTAAAAATAAATATAAGCCGACAATTCCAATAAACTTTGGACAAAAACATACAATAAGAACAACGATATCTACGATCATGTACAGAAAACCACGAGGTGTGTTAAAATTTGACTAGTGACTAAATTTCGTCACACACTAAGCGTTTTTATTCCCAAACAACGAAAATCGAAAAACCGCAATTTAAAATATTAAATTACATAAATACAATTCTGTAATTTAAAACAAATTTAAGGTTAGAGCAATATATATGTTTAACTAACAATCGAATGTGTCCTGATAAATTTAAGGCTAAGCATTAGGTTGAAAAATAATTTTAAGATATAATTGAACCTTTACTTTGAAAATTAGACTGAATTAGCAAATTATAGTATTCTTTTGTGTGAATGTTTTAAATGCTAAATTTCGCCCTTTTACTACATACAAAAAAAATTATATAATTTTTTTGCCTTTCTATTTTTTTTATTGTGCAGTCTTCTCTTTGATACACTACGTGAAAAATATTGCTTAGCTCTTTAATAAACCAATGTTTTTCATAGAAGTGCACACCTTTATAGTTAAATGATTTACTTGAAAAAGCAAATTAATTATAATCTTCTGCCATTTTGCTTTTTGGATATGCTAAGTATTAATTTAATTTTTAAGCGCATACAGAACCATAAACGAAACTAACAGGCAGTTACTGTGATGTGTTCAGCCATAACAAGGACAAATTTTAATGAACTATTTCATCTTTTAAATCATTTTTATAAAAGATTTACATTTAGCATATAATCTTAAACTTTAAATCAATGTAATTTTTATTTCTATTGAAAGCAATACTTTGTTTTACTTTTCGGATTTGCCCAATTTTTGTTAAGGTCGAATAAATAGCGTTTGTATAAAACATTGTTCATTGAATGATGTTTGGCAAGGCATTCACTTTCCTGTTTCTCGTTCTTGATTTTGGTTAGTTTGATTATTTTTTGTAAACAATTTTTGACGCAAAAATGTTTTGCAAATTTTTTGCCTTCTAAATGATAATCTTATAGAGTAGCGAATTTTTATTTCTTGTGCAGCTTTTTCATTTTTTTCGTAATATTTGTGAATTGTCGTTATGTTGTTAATATACCAAGGACTTTGACATTGGATATCACACTTCATTTATTATGATTACGTCCACTTAATCTTTTTAAAACTTTTAAAGTCGAAATTTTAATTTCTCTTCGCAGAATTGTGACCGTGGACTTATTTTTCCTGAGAATTCAAGTGTACTGGTTTTTTAATTTATATTTTTAACGCTTAAATTACTGCACTTATGTTTGCATGCTCATTATTTTCTTATAATGACGACAAAATTAATTAACACATGAAGGCACATTTCTCTTTATAAGTGGCCTAAATGCTTTCACTTATGCATTGCAATGCTCAGGCACTGCCTTCCATGTCGTGTGGAAAAATTAATTGCACTCACTTTTCCGCCACTCGATAAGTCACAATCGTTAGTGCCCTAATTTGCAAATGAGACTCGTAACTTTTTATTGACTTTTTTATTATTTACATAATCAGGTAAATATTTATGTTTGGTGCACGTTACATGAGTGCCACATTACCATGTTTTAAATACTATCGGTCATGAATTATATTTCGCAAGTCACTTATTAAAGAATGAACTTTAAATGGGGGGCATTCATCATGTATTATCTGATTTCTCAGCTGTTTGAATTCCGGTACCCAAATTCAACCATCTTCCTGTCCAAATGGGGCCGTTTGGGACACCCTAGACATTAAACTTACTAATATCTGGTAGAACGGGAAATTCGATTTCCACAATTTTCTTTCAGTTGCTTCTCGATCAGAAATAAGTTTATCTTTGGATGGGGGCCAGAAGCCTGTTTTCCTGGGTCAGCCCGTTACTCTCAGATGCACGGTTAGCAATCGACTTGTCCATCAAACGAGCCTCTCTGTCTTATTTCTGAGCAACGGCACTATGCAGGCGGAGAACTGCAAGGCCTACAAACCGGCGCAGTATGAGGTGACGTGTGAAACGGGTGGTCAAAACAGTGACAGTGCCACGCACACTTACCTATTTCACATCAAGTCAGTAAATTGGACCGATCGAGGCAAATGGACTTGTCTTCTCTCCGGTTCAACTTCCGAGGTCAATTTGGAGGTACATGGTAAGTTACTTTGGCCAGCATTACGTAACGAACCCTTTTAACCGCTAAATGCTAAATGACTGCTCCTGGGTTCTGAGAATTTGAGCTAGAGTTTTCTTGAGCTGCAAACAAGCATTAACTTTCCAAATTTGCTACCTTGTTCGCTGCCAATGGGATGTGAGTGGCTGTGAACTGATTGGCTTAGAGAAATTCAGTTAATTGTGTGTGAAACGGGGACATTTATGTTACAATTTGCTCAGTCTTGTTATTGAGACAATATTTAGCTACACATCTTTTTTCGTAACTTAATATTCTCATCTTAGGTCATTATGCATTGGGTCAGAGTCGCCCAACCCCGTCTAAATTCAAGTGTCTTTATTTACACAACCCGTGACCTAGCAACCAAACCCGTCACTTCTGATTAAACTAAAGCTTTTTAATGAACCGAAATCCGAATTTCCCGACATTAAAAAAAATACCTTTTTTATACTACTTTGCCCGTACTAAATTGACATTGAGTCAGAATGCATTGATCGCGGCACACGAGACCAAAAACCTATCATTTGACCAAAGAATTGCCGTTAAATATCCTAACGCGTGGTAAGAGGTTTTCGTCAAGCCTCGACTTATGCAAATCTTCGCTGTCCTTACATAACTGTGGCTATCACCCGGTGTCGAAGACAAGTAACTTTGCAACCACAATGCCGCACAAAATGATCTTTTATCCAATGTGCATAACCAAATTGGCAAGCTAGAGCAACCCCACCTAGCGACAACATAAAATCCCACTGACGTTACGACGTCCGTGTGCTCAGTGCATAATCAAGGCGTTGGCCAATGAGCTACCGGCCTATGTGAGACGGACAGGCGAAGATTTGTTTGAGTTACTCGTGCAGAAGACCACTTACGCGTCTGTCTGTGCCACTCGTGCGTCGCGTGCCTACCTGTTTGTGCGCGTGTCATCGAATGCGTATGAGTCAGCGGACTCTGACCAAGCCACTTGCAACGTGGGCTTTGGGAGGCCACCATGTGGACCTACATTCAACCCCGTCAAGCACCTCAATCAAACCAGAGTAAATTGCAAAAAAAACAATCTGGAAAATTGCCATTGTCAGGATTTAAAAAAAATCGAGGTGGATCACAACTTGCTAAAGTCCGGTCTACATTGTATTACTCTTTTCACCATTTGTTTTAATTGGGCTTCAATAATTCAAATTGATTTTTGGAACCAATAGCAAATGTTCCATGATTCATTTAAACAATTTCCATTTTGGGTGGATGTTTGCTTCATAGAAACGACTTTTGATGCAAGTTAAATCTACCCTTAGTCTGAGTGATAAGTTCTGATTATGCGACCAAGGACGCTTCACCAAGCCTCTTCCTGTTTAAATGACGTTTAAAGGTTGTGTGCTTTTCTTGGAATGTCACAGCCCCACCGAAGATGGCGCCGATTGAGGTGGAACGCGTCAGCGTGCCGTCGTCGGGCGATGCCCACAGACCCCCGACAGGTGCCGAGTCCGACTCGCTTGTGCCAGCCAATTCTCCTCACGCACCGCCGTTCTACGGCCTGGGCACCCGAACCAACCCCTACGACCTGCGCTCGGGCCTAGCGCTTTACCTCAAATGCCAAACTGAGTGCGGCTATCCCGAGGCCGTGCCGCAGTGGACGGTGAACAACGTGGTCAGTTGGTTTTCTTAATCTGCTTCGTTGTGCTTAACGGACACGTCGTCTACATTTGGCGGTAACTTGAGTATGTCGGCTATGGTTATGTTCCGGGAACACGTCTAAATTAAGCGTTAGGTTGTACCGGTAATTTGAGTGGCATTTTCTTACGCATTTGCTACTTCTAATCTTCATCTATCCCTCTGACAAATTTTTGTTTCGTGAAATATGAGAGTGGTTGTGAAGTCAAGTATTCTATGAGGGAGTTACACGCACCGGAGTGTGTCCAGGTCCGTTCAAGAAAACTTGCAATAAACCAACCTGGATAAAAACGTGCACAGCCAGTTTTTACACCAAAATTTGGTCGAAAGGCCACTTACCTTCTCATCGCCTCTTAATCAGCTGCCACAAACGCCGTTTCATCACCAGAGCGAGATGATTTAAGCGTTGTCTTTTACATCGACTCAAGTTAAATTCAAGCAAACCTAGGATTCTTATCACTCAAACTGGCACACCTAACTTTGACTCTTCTTCATTTTAGATTTACCGAAATTTTATCGTAGTCTTCAAAATTAAAAATGTCTCCAACGAGCACCCTATCCACGCCTTTAACGTTCAACTTAAAATGATGTATTCAATTTCTTCCAAAACGATCTCACTAATCAGAAGAGCCATGTTGAATCGCAGTTTCGATTTGCATTACCAAATCTGTTCGCTGGGCGTTATTCAAGCATTGAAACATCACAGGCGCTAGTTTGTTGAGGGCCCCGGTATGTGGCCTTGAACCACGACGGGGCCACTGAATTAACCCTGGCCCGATTACGCTTCCCTGATACCCGCGGTGAGGAATAAAAGACCGGAGAGGACGTGGACACAACCGTTTACTTCAGAGCTCAACCACATTGGTATCGTTGTGTCGTGGGTGGCATTTGCGCGTGTGTAATTGTACCTCAGATGTGTGAGTCATAGACGAGCTAACATCGAGGCCTATGTGTGGGGACACTCCAAGATAAGTATTCGTGTGAATGAGAGGGGAGTTGAGGATCCGCGCGGCTGGCGACATTCTGCGAAATGGGGGACCCTGTGTCGGAGGCTGGAGTGAACGGATTAACAAGTGTTATTCACAACTAGCTATCCCCGGTTCGTGCGACCCTTTGATTTGTTTTCATAATATTTCACCGTAAACAATCACTGCCATTCCCAGTAAAATAGCTTTGGGTGCAGAAAGTAAATTAATCAAGCTAAACTTGAATTTTACCCTGAGCATTGCGTTACTACGGGTGACTTCAAAGCACTCGTCATTCTAAAGAGGAAATAAGGGATGTTTTCTATTCCATCTCGTCAACTCCCCTTTTAAGCCAACTTCCGAAGACCAATGTGTCTGCTATTGGTTCACCAAGACAAAAATCCTTTACGCTTTAATTCTGCGATTGTTTCAAAGCAAGGTACTTACAAGCACCGTTTCCTCCTAATTCGTTGGGTACTTTCTGTCTGTGTATTGTAGAGTTTATTGTTATAACTAATGTCCCGTGTTGTTGTCTTATTCATGTTCCGTGCCAAGGGGTCAAAGTCCGCATGTCTGTGCACGAAACAGTGTCCCCTCTGATAGGTGCGTAAGCTCAAAGTGACCTCCACTTAAACCTTCAGGATACGAGAAGTTTTGATTGCCCAATCAGAAACCGGGAAGCTTTGGATGCTGCATAACCGTGTGGCAGACCTTCAACGATCACAATATGTATGAAAACGCATTATTCCCTCTTCTAACTACGCACTTTTCTGGCGCGTTTGTCGGCCGAAAACGCATACACCCTCCAGCCATGATTTGGTGTACCGTGGTAAAGATTCAAAGTCCACGTGTCTGTGCACGAAGCAGTGTCCCCTCTAATAGGTCCGTAAGCACAAATTGACCTCCGCTTAAGGCTCTAGGATGCGTAAAGTTTGAATTATCCAATCAGAAACCTGGAAGCTTTGGATGCTGCATAACCGTGTGGCAAAACTTCAGCATCCATCTCGTACGCTTTAACTTCAGACCGATTCCCAACCACGCAAACTACCCTCCACCCACCGGGTCAGCACTTACGCCTGTGATGGCAAGCCGGAAACACGAGAGATGTCCACGTCGACTACCTTCTTGAATGTGTGCTGTGAACATCATCAGTTGATCGGAATTAACAAGCTTCAGTGCTCCATTACTGGGTCTGCGGAACCCACTGCCTCCAGACACATCTACCTTCTCTGCCCGGGTGAGTAATTGGCCTTGCTTTCTATCATTGTACCTCCTTCATCGACGCATTCATGACTGCGTCCTCATCTTCAGGCGGCGAGGTACCAATGACCTTGACCAGCGGTGAGATAGTCGGACTGGGCGTGGCGGCGGTGGCGTTGTTTTCGCTCTTCGTGACTGGTTGTGTTCTGCTGCGTGGTCGCTCGAAGGAAGGCGCCATTATTTCAAATTCCCACTCTCGCGGAGAGTTGGTGTGAATGCCCCGTGGTCCTACTATCTCAAGTGTATAATAAACATTTTACTTAAATGTCTTCAGTAAGAATTTACGTATAACCAGCTATTTTTGCACTGATGTCCCTTAATGGCCTGATGTCGCAATTTCCTGATGTACAAGCATTGTCTTTATCATGCTTAATACAATGAAGCCTATGTAATTCTCAAAACCATTGATTTCAGCGTGATCCTCAGGGTCTGATTTGAGAAATTCTGGTAGGTTGTTGGGAAATTATCATTTAAATTGAATCATTACATCTACCGTGAAGAACATCGAAATTGTGGTCTGTGATGACGTGGCGTCATGTTTGCACTTGTCCGTAGTTTTCATGTGTGTCGGACGAACTAGGTGTCTATTTTTTTCAAAATCGAATGCCTTAATGCAGCACTTTTCAACAGAAAAATACATAATTCGCATTAAAATCTACATATTGTCAGCGTAAATTAAAAACAAAAAACTGAAATAAGCCAATGGAGTGAATGCACGATCGATTCGTTGAGTAAATTAGATACCACACATAGACTTGGAGTAATATTTGGCCATTAATTTTGCGTAAATTTTGGTGACACCTCTTTGTGCAGGGTTGTACGAGATAGACTAATATCTTTAATTATCATTAATAACAAATTTTTTGTGGTGTTGTAAATCGATTTGACTTGCAGATTTAAAAAAAAGCATTTTTTAGACTGACGGCCTCTACTTCCGCTCCATTTGTAGCAAATGTGCCACTTTCAAGACAACCCAAATTCAGTCCCGCTTCCGATAAATGGGTGATTTCTTCACGCTTATCTTTAAAGTGCCCGCTTTCACCCCACCTAGCCAATCAGAATTGCGCGGTTTAATTAAAAACAAATTTAACCCCTTCTAGAATTATTGCTGTTACGATGGAGCTTTTAGTCTTTTATGGTATGCGTGTAAGACGCTAGTCGTCACAAAGACGCACCTAGAGCTTGTAAGGAGTTGTTCTGTTCGAAACACGATCTTCTAGTAAGTTCGTGGTTTTTAACGCTGTGATTCCCTTCTCTAGTCTGTGGCTGGCTCAGATTGGCTGGACAAGCAGGCACCGGCGTCGTCTCAAGGCCTAAGTCAACACACATCAATTGGCTGGCCTGGCAACATCCTTAGTGTGCTTATACACTTCACACCAATGTAATTTTATAGTAAATAACCGCATAATTGCATTCAATCAGCTGTTAGTGGTGAAGGTAAGAAATGTTATGCTCAATTTAAAAGATTTGCCACTAAATGCTTTGTTTATTTCAAGTATTTTTTTGGTGCAAGCCACGCAGCATTGTTTCTAGTATCTTACGACTTGATTTGGACAAAATTTTATAGCCCAAGTCATAAATTCAACGTCCTACTAGCTGGACAGTTGATCTTAAATTTCGAGGCTTGGAGATTGCACCTCGAATCTGCGTAAATTTCCGCCAGTTTCCCAAGCAGTTCTGTTGTGAATTGTGCTTATTCACACCCCTTAATCCGGTCGCTCCAGCCACCGACACAGGATCCCCCTTTTCGCGGCAGGTCGCCAGCCGCGCGGATCCTCAACTCCCCCCTCATTCACACGTATATTTGGATTATCCTCACACCTAAGTCTCGATGTTAGGGCATGCGTGACTCACGCATCCGAGGTATAAATACACACTCGAAAACCCCACACACACCACCACGGCTAAGTCAAGTTCTCGAATAAACGGTTGACTCTCTCTTCGTTCGTGAACTTCATCCTTGTTGGGTAGTTATTGGTATTTGACGCTTAACCGTGGAATTTGACGCGGAAGTGACAGGTTTAATGCTGAAAATTGCCACTGTGGGTTCGTGAGGGTGATGTGCGGACACACATGGCATTTGTTTCCCACATCAGAACAGCCTGTTCGGATTCCGTTCTCCATGGACACAAATATGCGTTTGGCAAATTTCGTGGCGCGCACGGTGGGACCCATTTAGTCATCGATTTTAAGGCACACAAACCTTGAAAATTAACCTGCCTCTACAATTTGGAAGTTGTATAATCAGATTTGAGTAAATGCGGACTCCAGTTGATCTCGTTCGCTCGGAGTTTCATAACTACGACGGATTAGGCATCTACGTGCGCTTTCAATTTAATGACTATCGAGATGAATTATCATTCATCTTCGGAAAACCGAAATCACAGGAAATTTCGGTGCTTCTCCAGCCCAAAGTTCATATTTAAACCAACAACCAATCAAAGCAATGGGTTTTTGATCGAACCTTGCCTGATAGCCCTATCTGAGGTTTAAACCAAAAAAGTCAAAAAAATCAACGTTTTTACGGAGCCGTGATTTTTAACTGTGATCGAATTTTGTATTTCAGAAAGTAGTTGATATCAATTTTTAAACAGCTGCGACTAGTCACGTGCTGTAGGACGGTGACCAAATCTAGCTTCCATGCATGCGAATCATATGTTATACTCGATATCAGCAATCAGTGCCGACACGGAAAGGTCATTTTTCATGTCACAAGAGTCGAGTTGCAAAGTCATTTCCGTGGCATAGTTAGTAAGCCATGGCAAGATGAAATTTCTCTCACAAAGAACACGTATTTACCCAATGGAATTTAACGTTTTTAGTGACTATTCCACCCTGAATGCCCATTTAAATGTGCCTTGATTGTTGACTAGAAATTTCAATGCAAATAATCGTTCAAAAATGGCGTCTCATGGACACTCTTTCCTTAGTTCCTGTTGGATCTTAAAGCATTCGTTTTCCAAATATCGTGACGGCTGTGTGATTCAGGTTGGTGCGATTGGTCTTATCGTGACAAAACGTGGAACGAAAGACCGTGTTTGTTCGCTAAAAAGACTGTAAAGTTGGAGCCTTTTACCGTTCACACTAATGCCGTCATCACCCTACCAATGACCTTGAGAGATTCAAGGAAAATCATCAACGTCTAGTGTACTTTTACGCATTCACGTAGACGGTATTGATAAACAGGGCCATTGGTCATGCGGTGACGCGAGCCGCCTTAAAAACGTTCGTGCCTCTGGTTTTCCACAGTGATGCTTTTGTTACAATGACCGTCTCCGTCCTATTAACCCCTGATTCCATATCTTTTCTGGCACCTGAACTAGTCAACTTGGGTGATACCCACCTCGATAACCGATTCAAATTGCCTCGTTGTCTCATTTTAAGCATATTTTCTGGACAAATTTTTGTACACCGTGGACTCTTGTGCGGCTTAATCTGCCATTACCAATTTAATGCCAGAATCACGCCTTACTGGCCAATGATGTCATTTTAATGTACTGTTTGTGCAGGAAACTTCAATCTGTGTTATTATTCAGCAATATTAACCGTAAAAAAATTTGACTATGCCTTAGTAGAAGCGAACTACTTGCGCAAGATAGTCAAGGCGTAGAAGTTCTGCTTGCGTCAAGCAAATACTTAACACGGGTCATGGAAAATTTGTGGGGTTAATTGCCACTGGAATTTCACTTTTGTGCACACCATGGAGGTGGGCTATTAAACCAATTAAAATTGAAGCAGACAATGTCCTCTCTTGGGCCACCCTGAATCAGATTGGGGCCTGTTGGGTCGTAGGGCATGACATTCGACATTCGAGAATGTAATCCCTAGCTACGTGACTACAGAACGTACTTGCGTGTAATCTGCAGTTTGTAAAACTATTCAGCCATCCCGCAACACAGAGTGACTATCTAGGCCACAAATTCTTCACAATGTTTAAAAGTACAAACTTGTTTGACTAATCCACTTTGATATTCTGGGAGTCGTCACGATCTAGTGAAGTGAGATTCGCATTTTTGCACACTTGGATCACAAGTCGAAATAATTTATTCATGAAAAATGAAATTACAGGCTCATCAATGCAGCTGTTATTCAGGATTATGAAAAAATAGTCTCCACAAGGAATTTGTTAAACGGCAGAATACACCACCTACATAAGTTGCTACTCGCGCACGAAAATGACACAACAGTAATTTAAAAACCGAGTTATCAACAAGCTAACTCTCCTGAATGCTGGCCTTATTTTCAGAGACCCTGGGTAAGGATTCTGCAGCCTTTTATTCAAAAATCAGAGGATTTTAACACAAGGAATGGACCTAATTCGAGGTATTTTGCCAGCTATGTTGAGGAGTGTGTGGGAAGTATTGAAAAAGAAGGCTATCTTGTCTACACTAAAGACCACAGTACCTTTGCACTAACGCACCCACAGTACCTTATACAATCTTTGGCATTTCAGCTTTAATCAAAAGGCATTAAACCAAGTTTACTCAGATATACAAATGCATACATCATTTCCAATAAATGCACAAGAGTCCTACTCATGGCTAACTTTGTGGAAGGGTTCGAATCCAGTTCGTCTAGACTGGCATTACATCGATCGTTGAGCAATGCGATAAAGGCCGTCACACTGATCCATTTATTCGTCACGAGTTGCGCTGGAAAATCAAGCTCACTGCACAGAATCTCGCCGTCGAAATCGGCGTTTTTCGACTTGAGCCACACAAACGAGTCAAACTCCGTGCATCCACATATCGACAAGGCCACTTTGAGGAACCGAAACACTTGTGGACGTCGGAGACCTTGGAAAGGATTGCCTCGTAGAGTTGCAAGGCCGTTTTGCTTCGAATAGCCCCAACTTTGGCCCACGTGAAGACTTTTCAAGTGGGCGAAATGCTGTAGGGCCTCGGAGTCTATGATGAGCAGTGGGTTGTGGTTGAAGATTAGTTTTGTTGTGTTCAATTGGACCTTGGGCAGGAAGGAGCTCAACGTCGCGGTGGTGTGCGATTTGGTGAAAATTTGCACTGTCTGACTGAAAACGGGGGTGCGAAGGTCCGTTGGGTTGGCAACGTCGACGACTGTTTTGCAAAACTCGCAGCGCCACGTAGTGGGACAAGAGATGGAATTTGGCGGTGGGTAGACCAACGTAACCGCCTGCAAATTTTTGGCATTAATGTCCGTACATCCATGGAATTTCTGACTTGCGTCTGGATTCACCTGAGTGAACACCAGCTCCGTTACTGAGGACAAATTGCGTGGTTCAACAGCTGAGAAGCCTTCAGGAACCCAAGTACCGGCTATCACGAAGACGCTACGAAGGTGACGCAGATTCGAGGCGCTGGCTAGCGGAAAACCTTTAGCGTTTTCTAAGATCTGAAGGGTCTCAAGCAAGGGAGCTTTGAACGTCAAGAGGTTGCTTGTGCCAGTGGTTCCAGTGATATGCGAGACAGTGTTCCGACAATGGAATGATAGATGCCTCAAGTTCATGGCTTTGATAGTCCCTCCGAACAGCTCACAGCACACATCGTTGACGACTAACTTTTGGAGTTTTGGAAAACCATTGTCTCCAGTCTTCTGCCGGGCGTAATTTAACTCATTCACTGATGATTCTAACGACCGCGTAAATGTTAGTTCGGTAAGGTAAGGTAGATTTGGCAGAGAGTCGAACGGGCAGCGCGGGCCAGTGAAGTGAAGCCGCTTGAGACTTGTAAATTTCGTTATGATATTTTTCGATTTGACTGGATAGCACAGCCCTGAGCTTTGATACACAAGTAGGTCCTCTATGTCGCTCAGATTTGCCCTTGAGGGCAGAAGTCTCCCAATATCCTCAAAGCAATTTAAGTAGCATATGAGCGTGATCGCGTCAGGCTGATGACACATGTCAGTTAATTGCGGGGTAACTGTAAGGGGAGTTACAAGGGGCACGAGCCACAGGATAGCGTTGTACAGAAAGCAGCTTGGACATCCCCGGAAATGCATCTCTTGAATGATAGGTACTGGGTGCGCTCCTCCCGCACACGTTTTAATGCAGTGTGTAATTAGGGCCGGTGAACGCTTTAGTAAATTTAAGCGTTCTAAACTCTGATTGGTCCACAAGAATAGCCAATCAGTTGCGTTGAAATAGCCGAGCAAAACTCGAGGTCCATGTCTACTTCATGATATCACTTATAAAATCAGAAAATAAATACAATAAAGCACTAAAAACAACGTTCGATTTTTATACAAAACGAAGGGAATCAGATGGTTTTATTTGTCTTGTTATGATTTCTGATCTTGAATTAAACAATATTTATAAAACGGTCGTGTTCGTAAACTTCTAGCAGGTGCTAGTAAAGGGACAATCTGAATTACTATAAGTCCATTCGAAATCAATGCTAGCCAGATCGATTTAAAGGAGCAGTGACTGGTAATCTAGTACAGCCCTTCATCAAGATTTTGGACCCTAACCTTGTGCTTCAGTACCGTTCCACTCTTGGCGAAATTCCAAAACGTTCGATTTGTCGAATTATGTCCTACTCAACGGTTTTGGCATTATTACGAACGAAATAATTATTTCTACTACTGGTTCAGAGCATAATGACGCTATCTTTTATGCAGAAATGTAGACACAAATGTTGGGTAGGCACGCAATAAACAGACGTTTAAATTACATGGCATTAACATTAATTTTGAGGCACTTGTTTAATAAATTTTTAGTAGGTCCACTCATAATTGGAATATAAGAAAAATTCTTTTTGCACGCTGCTAACATCTAGATTTTGGGGAGCCGTTTACATGCCATATGGAAATTCCGCTTTTTTAGCTTCAGTTTCTGTTTAAATTTAAACAAATTTAACCACAGATTTGTAGATTGTTGTAACACGAGAATAATTTTGTGTGTTCACGCAATAAAAAGCATTAAGACTCGGTTCAGCACGTTATTTTTACAAAAAAAATTGATTTAAACTTTGAGGAATGATGGGACTCATCAACTTACGAGCACGTGTCATACCTAAAACGTCCTATTGTTTGGACAGAATCCGAGTACTTCTTAGCATTTTTGATGTCAGTTTAACATTCATGAAATAAAGTGCATATATTAATGCGAAGTAAGTTTAAATTGCAGTAACACTCGGTTTTTAAATAATGCAGTGCTATGAAAGCATAGGGGCACTTGGAAGTGTGTGAGAAGCAAATTATGCGCCATTCAAAAGCACTGAAAACTCATCTCTCTTATGTGCTTTGATCAGAGACTTCAAAAAAGTGCAAACCGCAAACACTTGTGCAAACACATCCCATTGTATTAATTTTAATGCAGCCAATCGGCATCCAGTTAGATATGAATATTTGGAGATTCCACGGAGATCTGCATTTTTACTATTTCTTAAAGTCTTAAATGTGAGACCTATACAATGTGTTTTTAGTGGTTTAGTTGAAAAACCACTGTTATTAGATGTAGATATGCCGCAGAACAGTTGAGTTTTGACATCTGGGCTGTTGAAGACGCCGATTACGCTCCGCAGGTACCCTGGAACAAGACCCGTGGCCAGTCGTTGGTAAGATAGCTAAACCAGAGTCGTGTGCGACTGATGAAGATATCGACTGATTCAGCTAGGGTGAGATTGTAAGGGTTCAAATTACTGAATAGCTAGATGAATTAAATGAGTGGCTCATTGGGGTTTAGCAGCAAGCTCCGTCCAACTGGCAGTGACGTTGTAGTAGTGAGAACATTGTCAGAGCACGCGGTGGCGGATCAGATAGCCGAGATTCAACACGATTCACCGTAGTACAATATGAAAGTGCACTGAAGGTAAGTAATTGGTTCCCACAAATGAGCCCTCATTAATATCAGAGCATATAAACAACGGCCGAATGGGTTACCCATGAACTTCACTCAAGGATGGACACATGGAGTTAGCGACAACTGAAGGCTTCCCACGATTGTGTCGCAAATAACGTAAGTTAAATCGATAAAAAAAAACTTCTAAATCACATCCCATCTGGTTACCCTGCTAATTTTCCAAACCAAAAGAACAGCCCTTTAGCACTTACATAAGCGTTGTTGCCGAATTCCGATGTCAAAAATAAGTGGATAGGGGATATCTTAGTTGATTGTCTCGTGACACAAGTGCTCTAAACACTTATTGTGAACTTTCAGGGTTCACAAATGAGCGGTTTCCATTTGTGCTTACGTTCCTTGCTAAGCCACTTTGGAGCTGTCTCCATTTATGAAGCCCCGTCACGCTATGGTGCGGTACTTGGGCGCAGACATATTTGATCACTGGGACTCAGTCATTCCTTCGTCAATAAGCATTTGAGTGGCCTACGTAGAGGATCAACAGCCAACCAGAAACAAGGAGGGATGAGAAGCAATACATAATTAGCAGTGGAGCTAGCAAGGAGGACTCGGATGGACAGCACCTAATGCACGGTTCTGGCTTGTGATTGGTCAGTAAAGCCTTGCCAGTTGAACCAGTCTTCTTCATACCAGGACTCGAGGATTCTACACCGCTTATGAGTAAAACAGATTTTAACAAGTTAGCCCCCAAATACTTGATTGGCTGGTTTATCAAGGTCACATCAGACTTGTGGTGTCATTGCGACAAGCTACTTAAGTCAGGCAAATTTTTGCCTAGAATCATTGTCGATATGTGGTCTGGCGTTGCCATGGTAAAAATGATACACCTTTTCGCCGCCACCCCTGGCCTTTTCCTGTTGGGTGTTTCATTTGCATCGGCAAACGGCACCAACAAGCACAAATGGGCGAAATTCTGTGATAATTAGCCCCAGTCTGCTAGCAGATAAAAATGTCGATTCCGTTTTTAGGAATTTAGTAATGTAGAGTGGAAGTCTACTGCTGGCAAACATATTTTTTTCCTAACATTAAGCTGAATTTCCATCTAACTCAGGTAATCACATGGATACATTCAAGCGGTTTGATTGAACTCTGTAAACAGGTACCTCAACGTGAAATGGAACCCGAATGACAATATTTTCACGCGCTTGTTTTTATGAGATAAATTTCTGGTAAATAATGAACTATAAACAAAATGATGTCAAATATGCTTTGACGATTGAAAAACGCATAAACAGCAAAATTTAAACACAGTATTCGATTGTTGCGCCAGAAATGTTCGGCAGTGAATACGTCCGAAGAAATATTTTCCGCAACCAATAGTTTTGTGTAAACGGCTTCGTGTAAATGGTTTAACAGGAAACATTTTCTCAATGCTGCAGATGAATTTCGTGGTAAATTATCTGTGATTTATGGCCAGTGATTAGCTGCTGGCCTGAAAATGGGCTTTATGACTCTACTGCCTGATTCATTTATGACAGCTAATTAATTTACTGCGAGTAGATCAAAAGGATGAATTTATTCTTCAACGTTAAACACGATGCATGGTGATAATGATGGAAGTTTTAAACTTTCAATAACTGACCTACAGGTTACCGACAGGTCATGGTAATTTTCCGCACATCTTCACATCAGTAGTGTAGCTGAAGTCAAGAATTCTAACACAAATGACACACACTTATTAACGCTTATTAAATCAGCAGTTAGTTATGCTTCACAGCCTGACAGCTGACGGTTTCGCGCGCTCAAAAGTAATTCTCACGACCTCAACTGAAGGCATTTTCAGGGCCGGTGTTTAACAGAAATGTCGAAGTCCTGACCGAATAATTTGGATCACCTCTAGTGGCACAAAAGTTGTTTTTGCATGAAAGCACGTTTGTACGCGAAGTTGCAATCACTAATTTAGGTCACGTTTGATAGACTATTCAAAAGGAAATCCATACGCATTGAAAAGTTATTAAATATTCGACAATAGCCACTAAAATGAACTGGTATTTTGCATAGCCTATTAATAAAATGTATACTTTTCGCCTTTTTCCAGAACAACGCATCAAATGAAACCACAAGGAAAATAAACTGGTGTCATTTCATTTCGAAGGTAGCAAAAAACACGGAAGGAATCAATGTGTACTTAAAGTATGTAATTTTCTAGCTCCAATGGAGACGTCAAAATGAACTCGAACCTCGGATTAGCAGGAAAGTTGTACAACCAAGCCGTTGTATTTCAAATTCACCGTAAACTCAAGTTGTCTAATTTCAAGGGAAATTAACTTTAACAGATGATTTCCATTTCCATGAAGTTTAATTTAGCATGTAGGTAAATTCCCTTAATTCCGTTCGCTTTGCTTGGTGATTTTTAACCTGTAGTTTGGCATTTACCTGTAAAATTTGCATGCAACGTTCTCCTGCCTGTCGTTTTTGTGAACAGCGAATCATTGCGCATATTTTCATATTTCCATTCGCGATATCTAACTAAGGATTTCATCTGTCCAAATGACGTCAGCTTGCTTGCTTTGTTACTCACGTAAAACGGCCAACCCTCAACTATCGTCAGGGGTAATTAAATCAGACTTTGTGCCGTTTTCTTGCGGATTCTTTAATAGTGAATTCCTAGTCACATTGGACATGGTTGTGATCTATGAAATATATCGACCTGGCTATTTCAACTAACTTGCAGGATCCCACGAAATTGGTCAAATTGGACTCTTTGGTAGCTGGAAACGTGAACAAACGCGGAGGTGTCAAACAGGTGTTGTGAATCGTGTTTACTCACACCCCTTAATCCGGTCGCTCCAGCCACCGACACAGGGTTCCCCTTTTCACAGCATGTCGCCGGCCGCGCGGATCCTCAACTCCCTCTCATTCACACGGATATTTATCTTGGATTATCCTCAAACCTAGGTCTCGATGTCAGCGCATGCTTGACTCACACATCCGAAATATAAGTACACACGCGCAAACCCCACACACGAGACGACGACACCAACGTGGCTGAGCTCTGAAGTAAACGGTTGTACCCACGTCCTCTGTGGTTTTTTCCTTCATCGTGGGTATCAGGGCAGCGTAACCGAGCCAACGTTAATTCCGTGTCTCCGGCGTGGTTCAAGACCACATGCTTGGGCCCACAACACTGGCTTCATTGAAATTCACCTTTAAACACTTCAAACCTGTTTCCGCTATTGTTTCACGATAACACTAAAGGTATATACTTTTAAAACCCACTAAACGAAATTACTAGGATAGACGAGTGGACTTGTGAAATATAACAGCGCCTGTAATGTCGAGTTAGTGGATTCAAAGTTGAAAGAATTGCGTTGCCATGAGAGGTTGAATTAATGTGGCAGACTGTTAAGTGACCGCAACTACCTCTGGCGATCTCGAATTCACATCTAGATTTAAATTCAAAAGACTTCACGAAACGGAAGATTGATTTGAGCTTAAAAAATACATGCCTACTTAAATCTTACTCCTCAGCATTTAGATGGCAGTATCAGCCTTTAGCGACGCACTCATTCTGCAACTTTTAAACACTAGTAGTCACTCTTGTACATGACCACGTAATCTTTCAGAAGGCATCATATTTAATTTCTGAAGGTGACAGACTTCAAATTACTTTTCTTCGTTTAGTTATTAAGTAATTTAATGTGGGTTAGGACGTTGGGAATTGACTGTTAACAATAAGACGGGCATTCGGCGCTGATGTTTCGAACTTTTCAGACGAGTTCTTTGTGTGGTTTCAGACAATTCTGAAGATATAAGAAAAAAGGGCACGTGTGTTAGGCCAATGCAATAAATATTTTTGATTCAGACAGATCTAACGATGCTTCAAGCAAATTCGAACCTGGCGCATTGAACCTCTATGGTGGTTCCTGACATTTCTGCTTTAAGAGGTCGCGATTCTGAGGTCAGAGGTAACCCAGATTGTTCCATTGGCGCGTCAGGCCCCAGGTCATTCAGCACCGGGAAAACTGGAGTTCGAAGCTCGTTTGGTAAAGCAGTGGCTACAAAGTTGGTACACCCTCTCATGCCCCAATTATGTCGCTACTTTAGCCAATAACAACAGGATTACCAAAAGGCATTTAAACACAAGAAAAAGAGCACCGATTTTTATGCGAGATGACATATGACAATGGGTGGAGCAAGTTTTCATATTTTAAGTAACTTGGAGTAAAAAGATCCAATAAAGCCAAGGTAACATCTTAGGGTCAGGATTGGTCACCTAGAGATCTCTTCATTCCTCATCTCGTCCAATAGTTTTCTAGTTGAAACTGAGATTTCGGATTCAGTTTAAACACTATGATTACATATTAATGTACTACTTATGCGCATACTTAAAAAAGATGCCAATCAAATGACTGTCTACCTAATTTGGTTTAAGCTATTTAAGTTCGTGTACACTCCAAATAACACCCACAATACCATTTAAGATTGATAAATTAAGGAAAAATGAAAAGATAAAAGTTCTGCTAAATTTAACTCAGTGAATGCAAATATGTAAAAAGAAGTCTTGACGATTTCTCCACAGTAAACTCACCAATCACTATTTATCCTTGGCCAAAATAAATGTGCAAATCAGGTTCAAATTTGACTAAATAGACGTCCTGCTCACTAAGGTGATAGATAAATATTTGATAGTAAAAGCGTGAAACTTAGTTGCACTTTTGTCTAGCAATTTGAAATGTAAAGGTTTGTGTTCGAGGGTACCTTAGTTGATCAACCCGATTTGCAGAAAAACCACTTCTCGAGTTAGTGTCCAGGCGCGTCAAAACCATTCCTGCACAAATGACATTTTTGGAAAAAACTGGTACATGAATGGTATTGAGCTGGTGTGTACGCTTTAGCACAACGCAAGGCCGCTACCACTTCCTGATTGTGCTTCGTGAATGCCACTTCGCGTAAATTATATGACCCTACTCGACACAATAATATAATTTGAGCAGTGTTTTCAGGAAAAGAGAGTAGGATAATCAAATAAAACGGTGCCCAACAACGTGAATTAGTAAAAAAATTTATAATAATCTCAAAGGGCAACATAATTCAGTGACAGTGAGGATGTGATTGGAAAAGAGTTCGGTTAAATAAACCGAAAAGATAAATAAGGCGATTTTCAAGCCATGTAGTCAGCATGACGTAGAGCTTTTTCTACCTTTGAGAAGCAAACCAAGTGTACTTATGTACGAAAAACTGCAATGATATGTAGGTTTTTTTGTACACCGACAATTTCGTGACCTTACATTTCTTTAAATCAAACTTAAGTTCATGTGAATTTTTG